GCGTCACGACGGGCGGGGCGATGCGGCCCGCGGGGTCACGTGCACCCCTCCGCCTGCGTGCTGAGTGACCCAGCAAGGGAACGTGCGGGCAGTCACTGCCTCCACAGCGGCTTAAGAGCCCGGGAGGTGCAAGTAGAAGTGAGGTTCGCTGCGCCATCTGCAGCCTCCATCCCCTTCTTACATCGGTTCACCGCCCGCTGCGATGTCATCCTGAGGTGGGGCTGGGCTCCCAGAGGAACAAACTTGAGCCACCTTCAGTGGGCTCTACTCTGAGAGCCTCGGGCTTGTGCTCCTAAAGCCTCCTTCCCACTCATGTGGATGGCTTCACACTCGTGCAGAAGCCATGCTCCAGTAGGGAGATAAGCTTTCCCTGGTTGAGAGGCCCAGAAAGATACGGGAAGAACTGTAGGGTTCGTGTTGACCAGTCATTAGAATGCTGTTCTCAAATTCTGTGTAAGAAGAATGAGGAAGCTGCCAGCCCTGGTTCATGGGAAGCACAGGAGATTGCCTCCAGTTTGAGGCTAAGCTACAGCACGAGGCAAATAGGGGGAAAAAAAGAAGAAATGCTCAAGCTAATAGAGATAGAAACAGGGCCTTCGGAGAGGGCTCAGTGGGTAAGAACTCTTGCTGGGCAAGCAGGAGGACCTGAGTTCCAATACCCAGTCCCCACATTAAAAGCCAATAGTAGCCCCAGAAAGAGCAACAAGAGGGTCGCTGGGGTTCTTTGCCCACCTGGCCAGCAAACAGTATGCTCTAAGTTCAGTAACAGATTCTGGCTCAAGGGAGTAAGGTGAAGAGCAATAGAGACTATCCAAAATCCTCTGGTCTCAGGCATAAGAGTGAATACCTGTACACAAACATACACCACCTATAAAGAAGATTAGAAATGGACACCACTGAGGCTTCAATTCAATAAAACTCAGGTAATTTAGGCCGTGAACCTCAGTTTCCTCATCTCTAAGGTAATGTTTAACAGTGTTGGTTTTTTTTAAATACCTTATTTAACTTTATGTGCATTGGTATAAGGATACCAGATCCCCTGGAACTGGAGTTAGAGACAGGTGTGAGCTGCCATGTGGGTGCTGGGAATAGAACCTGGGTCCTCTTGAAGAGCAGCCACGGCTCTTAACCACTGAGCCATCTCTAACAGTGTTTAATAGGCATTCAGTTGGACTGACAACAAAGACTCCATACACGTACATGCTCACAACCCAATTATCTCTGAACTCTTCCTCTACTCAAGTTTTCATTCTCCTCCTAACTGGGAAAAGATGGCTAGATGGCCTTTGCCAATCCAGAACCAAGTTTACTAGCAATCTTGCCTGGTCATGGCTGAGGCTGTGTTGTAAAGAGTTAAATGTGAAGAGTCTTTGTGTCTAAGAGATCAGGCTCTAACACCTGATTCATCCCTTCATTCAAGCTCAGGCAGGCTGGTCTGCAATGGACCTGGCCAATAGGAGATATCCTGCCCTCGCTGTTTGATACCTTTGCATACCAAAAGCAGGACTTACTCATATTATGAATTAACATGTAGCCATTTTTGATCTCCAAAGACATCATTTTCTCTGACACAAGTCTGAGGCTTTACTCTGTAAATGTACAGTGTGTGGGCAGTGCTTAATGGTCACTGGAGATAGACATGTGCCTGAGCAAAAAATTGCAGGGGTGGAAAAGAAGTTGATTCCTTCCCAATATTAAAGACACAGCTGACACTCCTATATAAAAGGCAGGTTAGCAAGAAAAATATATAACTCATTTATCATGGATTTATATGATACACAATCCACCAAACTTAAGAACTCAAACACCCAAGATATATTATTGATTTTTTTTTTAGATTATTGATTTTTACGCTAAGGTTGAATGAAGCATGGATAGGCATATAAAAATATACATGAACAAGCCAGGCGGTGGTGTCGCACACCTTTAGTCCCAGCACTCGGGAGGCAGAGGCGTGCGGATCTCTGTCAGTTCGAGACTAGCCTGGTCCACAAGAGGTAGTTCCAGGACAGCCTCCAAAGCCACAGAAAAACCCTGTCTCAGGAAAAAAAAAAAAAAAAGAAAAAAGAAAGAAAGAAAAAAAGAAATATACATGATCAAATAGAGTATAATCTAACAGAATGAGTAGGTATCCCAAAATGCCTGTCCGGGTGCCCCCTCCCCTAACTATGGAGACAGAACCTTTCTAAGAAGGAAGGGCTTGGTTTTGTCAGTATATTGCTGGGAATTGAACTAATGTTTAGACCAGCCCTCTACCACCCCTTTTTTAACCCTACAAAACCAGGTCTCTCACTAAGTTGCCAAGGCAATCCTTGAGCTTGCCGTCTTCCTGCTTCAGCCTCCCAAGGAGCTGAAATTATAGGCCGTACCACCAGGCCCCACTTGCATGGAGGTCTTGAACTGGGAAAATGGCTGAATAAAGTCCTTGCTGTGTAAATGTTAGTATCAAGGCTTCGGATCTCTAGAACCACATAAAAGATGGGCAGTTCACCTATAACCCCATCACTCAGGAGGCAGACATGGGATCCCTGGGACAAGATAGCTAGTTAAACTAGATTAAATTGGCAAGCTCTGGATTTAGCAAGAGACTCTGGTTCAGTAAATTAGAGAACCATCCATGAAGAAACATGCATGTGTACACATTTGTACATGCACCCACATGCAAAAAGTATGTATATCTGCCATGTCCATTGCAGCTTTGGTCCAAGAACTCTGGCTAGGGGCAGTGAAGGAATAAAGAAAGAACACATGTACAGTGAAGCTGGGACCAGGTGGGTTTCCCTAATTGCTACCACTGCAAACCTGTAATCTCAGCGTGGTTATTAGGCACAGCATAGGGGCAGGGATTAGCCAGTCTTGGCAGGAGGTGTCTGTAGACAGTGGTCTCAAGCTATAGACATCTGGGAAGAGGAGGGTGCAGTTGCTAGTTTTCACACTGGTCAACCTTTCATAAACATTCATACCTCCCAAGGGAGGCTTTGCCACTCCTCTTCAGCTTGTTCCACATGGGTAGCAGTTTTGCCAATTGTCCCATGGTGTTATAGACTTAGAGAAAGGAAGGGATAAAGGGAAAGAAAGAGAAGGACATGGACAAAACCAGAGGGCATAAGGTTCACTGTGAATCCACTGTGAAGTCCACCGGTTGACTGAGGCAAGGACATTGGTGTGGGCTGCACTGTCACATCCCACACAACAGTAGGACTAGCACATTTTGTTGGCAAAGATGCTGGAGTCACTTGGGTGTTGTAGGATAGATAGTGGAGAGGACAACTCTGAATCAGGCTCCAAAGTCCTCTGTGACTAAAACGGAGTGATTGCAAATGAGTCATAAAGGATAATAAGACTTGGGATATGGTCCAGTGGAAAGGTATTGCCTGGTGTGTGTAAGATCTGGGGTTTAGCCCCCAGCACCGCATACAAAAAGAAAACAAGTCTATCTGATGGCATAAACCTCAATCTTTTTTTGTTGTTTGGTTTTTGGTTTTTGGTTTTTCGAGACAGGGCTTCTCTGTAGCTTTGAAGGCTGTCCTGGAACTTGCTCTGTAGACCAGGCTGGCCTCAAACCCACTGAGATCCGACTGCCTTTGCCTCCCGAGGGCTGGGATTAAAGGTGTGTGCCACCACTGACCAGCCATAGACCTCAATCTTGTATGACTGTGTGTGAGGAAAGCAACAGCCAAGCTGGGTGTGGCAGAATGAGAGACTGGGTAACCTTTCCAGGAAAGAGAAGGAAAGCATTCAGTGGAGCCACAGAAGACTCGGGGAGTTTCTTTACAGCCACCCTGGGGGTTTTAGAGAGCACAATGTGATGGGGTAGCAGGGAGCCCAGAGTAGTTCAAACTAAGAAAGAGAGTGAGTGCACAGACAGGGTAGAAAGCCAGGAAGAGCAGAAATGTACCCATGGACTGGTATTTGGGTATCTTTGGGGAAGTTAGCACCCACAGCCCCCTGTGAAGGATACCCTGGAATTAACTGGTCTCCAAGGTTAAGCCAGTACATGTGATAACCATTCCTACTGTGCATGAAGAACAGTGTGCGTGGGTTTCTCGGGGTGCCATTTATAGCCACACTGCATCATGAAAAACACTGATCTAGACATTAACATCCCAGAAGTAAATTAGGGAAAGACAGCGTTCTTCAATTTTCCAGATCACAACAGAGTTGGGCCCTCTCTAGCTTAATCTAGTTGGTGATAATTAGGGCAGTCGGTGGACTTACATCTTAACAGGGCATAACATGCAAGCTTCACATAGCTGCTTCCAACTCTGCTACTCTGGGTTGGCACGAAGCCCAATGAGAGAAGACTTTGTTATTCACATCTAGTCAGAAACCTGGAACACTGGCAACGTTATTATTGTTTAAATTTGCTATTTATTCTTGTTCTTTTGTTTTGTTTTTCCATACAGGGTTTCTCTTTGCAGCTCTGACTGTCCTGGAACTC